GTTTGCAAAGATCCATATGTCCATTAGATGGCACTAAAGATAGGATCTTGCAAGGTTTAAATAGATCTCGACTTAAGACCACGACTGAGCCCAAGATTTCTATTGCTAAGCCAGACAGTTGTTAAGTGAGTTTTGTCCTATTTTACGACCTTTCATGCCACAGTTGTTAAGTGATTCACTGCGGTTGTTAAGTTAGTAACATGGTTGTTAAGCGAATCTGGTTTCCCCATAGACTTTGCTTGTCAGAAAGTCGCAAAAGGTGATCAAGTGAACCTGGGACATTGCAACTGTCATAAAGATGAACTAGTTGCCATATTTATGTGAACACAGGGATGCTGCAATAGTTGTAAGTGTGAAAAATGGTCATAAGACACTTTTTTCAGTGCTGTTGTAACTTTGAACGGTCACTAAATGAACTGTAGTAAGTTGAGGACTACCTGTATCGTAGCTGATCTTGATACTGCACTCTTCTAGGTAGTCCTCATAAGTTTGAGGACTAGTTGTAAATAACTTCTTTTAATGCTGTTGTATCTTTGAACGGCTGTAAGTCAAGGACTACCTGTATTTTTGCAAATGGCAAGCCATATGCTTGAACGGCTGGAAGCTATTATTCCCTTTCCCCTTTATGTAATTTTAGGAATTGGAAGTAAGAGGTTTGTTGCTTCTCGATATATATGTGTATCTGCTATGCTTGAGAGTTGATAGCTTCCTCCTCCATGAAACTGTCTACATTTCCACGTCTCATAATTCATTGAAATTCTGATGTAATATGGTGTATTGAATTAATTCACTTATCTGTGATCACAGAATGTTGTTGTTGTTGTTAGTTGCGAAGTCGTGTCTGACCCATCGTGACCCCATGGACAACGTTCCTCCAGGTCTTCCTGTCCTCTACCATCTTCCGGAGTCCATTTAAGCTCACGCCTACTGCTTCAGTGACTCCATCCAGCCACCTCATTCTCTGTCGTCCCCTTCTTCTCTTGCCCTCAATCTTTCCTAGCATTAGGCTCTTCTCCAGTGAGCCCTTCCTTCTCATTAGGTGGCCAAAGTATTTGAGTTTCAACTTCAGGATCTGGCCTTCTAAAGAGCAGTCAGGGTTGATCTCCTCTAGGACTGACTGGTTTGAACACCTTGCAGTCCAAGGGACTCGCAGGAGTCTTCTCCAGCACCATAGTTCAAGATCACAGAATAGATTGAACTATATACTTCACTGGTTGGGTGGGTTTAACACTTTGATCCACAAACCAGCCAAAAAAACATCTAAGTTCCTTCTTTGTGTCTGCTGTTTTTAAGAGATCGGGGTCAAATTAGTAGCCATCAGCACATTCCTGTGGTAATAAATTCTGTAATTTAATTATATCCCTGAATGAAAAACATATCCTGTCATATACCCTAATTTTTTTCCTACTCTTCAGTTTCATAACATGATCCCTTAGTTCTAGCATTAGTAAAGGGAAAACAAGTGTCTCTTCCTCCACTACACTGAAACTTCTAGTTCAAATTATCCCTTATTATCTTTTTTCTAAACATTGGCAGACTTCACACAATATTGTAAGCCTGCTTCTTTTAAATTTATTTATTTAATGTTAATTTTGTTTGCTGCCTGACTCCAATGACTCTTGGGGATTCATGTGAAAAAGAAAAAGAATGTGAAAAAGAAAAAGATACAACGAGGAACAAACTAAGGAAGAAAAGATAAAGAATAATTTGTTGGTTAAGACCCATAATCCATGGTTCATAATGCGTGATATGACAAATCTCACTAAACCAAAACTGATCACAGCAGATTATGGCTTAATATGATGAATGAAACCAGTCACTGGGTCCCCCCCCATATTAGTCACTTCAGCATTTATTTATTTTTATTTTTTTTTACTGTATAGCAGTGATGGCGAACCTTTTAAAGACCGAGTGCCCAAACTGCAACCCAAAACCCACTTATGCATTGTCGGGTGCCGGGTGGGTGTGGCCCATTGGCTGGGTGTGGCCCATTGGCTGGGTGTGGCCCATTGGGTGGGCGTGGCTGCAGTCATAACAGCAGACGGTGGGACTAAAAAGTTCAATCAATCAATTCCAACTTTGCAAGATCTTTTTTTTTCCCGCGAGAAGTTGAAATTGACTGATTGATTGAACCTTTTTTTTTTTGTACACGGCAGTGGAGGCCTAAAGCGAAAAGGTTTTATAAAACCCAGCTGAAGGCCTAGGACTGGAATGACGGCACGTGTGCCCACAGAGAGGGCTCTGAGTGCCACCTCTGGCATCCATGCCATAGGTTCGCCACCACTGCTGTATAGGATTCCCTGGTGTCCAATATATCTTCTTCTTTAAAACCATTAATTGGTATAAAGGCATTGTTTTTCTTTCAGTCTTTTTCTGAGATGATTTTTCACTCGGTCAATATTTTCATAGAATTGCAGAGTTGGAAGCAGATTTTTTGGGGCCGAGGAGGTTCGGGGAAGGTCTGAATATCTGCAAACTATACGTAGATGTTGGTACTTGGGCTACATGGTAGGAAGTCAGCAATCATCTGAATAGCTTCTCAAAAGTTAATTGCAATCCTAGAGGATATTTTCTAAACCAGGGCCCAAGAAGGTATTGAGAGTGATATGATTTTTCCTTTATATTTTTGTTTACCCTCTTCTCTTTCTTATACCTATTGTATTTGGAATCAGCAATATTATTATTATTGTTCTTATTATATAGTTGGGTTACCCACTTGGAGCAGCCTATTAAGATACCTTTTATTAATAATTAATAATTAATAAATTAATTAATACCATTATCTAGCTTGGGATTTTCTATGCTGATTAACAGAAGCTCTTTTAGGTTCCAAACTGAGGTCTACCGAGAATTGTGGTATGTTTTATTACAATTCCTTCCAACTTCTCTCTCAACTTCTCTGTCTTGGGTTTTCTATCTCAATTTGGTGAAGGAGACATATCCTGTAAGATTCGCAAGAGCTTATTTTTCACACAGGTGTTTCTACAGCTGATTAATATTTATGTCCTTTTTATTCATGGATGGAAGATTTATTCTGAAAATGGCGGTCAACAGGGTGCCATGTTCAGAACAGAATTTCAAAATACTTTCTGCTAAGCAAGCTGTTGAATTCCTTAACAGAAAGAGCATGATCATGGAAGCAAGATCATATGGGCTTTCTTTAATGAGTTACGTTCAGAGGGTTTTCAAAAATCTTGAAAATGAGATAAAAGTCTTCCAGCCCTCCTTTATCGCAGATGTCATTAAGGCAGGATCTCTCTGAAGCTTCTAAATCTTTTTCCCAAGCTGTTTATATGACAGGCTAAGAATCAATTTCTCCCGATATGTCTGGAGTAACTTCTCCCATCTGCTAATCCTTTGAGTCTGGAGATCTTCTCCTCCCTTCTGAACCTCAGAGTAATGCTCTCTACATGGGGCTCCCTTTGAGGAGCACCCGGAGACTCCAACTGGTCCAGAATGCGGCCGCGCGGGCGGTGTTGGGAGGGACTCGTCGCTCCCATGTGACACCGCTGCTGCGCGAGCTGCACTGGTTACCAGTGGTCTTCCGGGTGCGCTTTAAGGTGTTAGTTACCACCTTTAAAGCGCTCCATGGCATNTAAAAGTAATTTTAATCGGAAACACAGCTGGCAATATTTGGTTTTTAATTCGGCTTTTATTGGGGTTTATATTTTTGTATTTCTGTATTTTTGTATTTTGTGTATAGTATTTGTTTTTTAATATGCTGTGAACCGCCCTGAGTCCTATGGGAGAAGGGCGGTATACAAATTAAATTAACATTAACATTAACATTAATCTCTCACACAACCCATTAGATGTGCTGACTGGGAGGACTCATCATCTGATAGAACTGGAGGGCACCCGCTTGGAGAAGTCTATTCTTAAAAGATCTGTGGCTGCATGTTTGTCTTTTGCTCTATTTTATGCATGCATGTATGCATATAAATATAAATGTGGGCCTTTGATAGATTTGGAACAGAAGGTAGTGATTTTCTTGGTTGCTGAGCTTCAAGACAGATGATGTCCTAAAATAGAAGGGTGTAGATGATCGGTAGAATAGAAGCCTGTAGATATTCAGTGAAATTGCTCTGTTATGGTAAATTTCTTAAAGTGGAAATATTTAGAATGTCGTCTCTTGTATTTTTAGTGTCATAGATGTTCATTTGTGGGTAAAAGTTACAAATCAGAAGACCAGGATAATTTTATAGGGCAATATTATTTAAAAGATTCAATCACGATTCTTAAGTTCATGGTGATTTATCTTTACGTGGCAGGGAAATTGAATTTGGTTTGTCAATTGCCTTTAGGAAAACATTAGAAATTAGAAGGACGTATGTGAAACCAAGATGGTTGGTTGGGAAAATTAAGTTTTATACTGAGAACTGGAGTTCAGTAAATGCCTAAATCTAACTGTTTTTAGATAGTTTTCTCAATATTTTCTGGTCATTTAAATACAGTAAGAAATCCAGCTGATAAATAAAATTCTCTCCCTCACCCATTCCTTTGTTTCTTAAGTGGCAAATCAAATACACTTGGTTTGCTTGTAGCTAGCAAATAAATGCAGCACTGTTTCTAAACTCCAGATTTTTTTTTAATAGTCTGAGTGGCTAACCTCTCTATATCTAATCAAGAAGCCTAAAACAGTTGCTATATGGGCTTCATTTTATAATGCTAAAACAAACAAAAAAAGCCTCCCCCATTTAAAAAGAAGGATTAACATTTGTCAGTGCTTCCCAACAGGAACCACAGCTGTCCATTAAATGTGGTGGACATTTCCAGCATGCAAATCAATTTGTCTGGTACTGGGGGATGTGGTGAATAATGACTGGGTTGTTTCAGAAAGCATGACTGATTTGGGATGAAGATTCCTGCCTCTCTGACATTTTCATAGGGTAATTTATTACACGCAGCATATAAAGTGATGGTCACCAAGTCTTGCTGGCAGACTCAGTAGAAGGAACGTTCTCCAAGACTCCATCACACCAACAGCAGAGTTGTTTTTTTTTTTTTTAGCAGAAGGCCCTCACTCTAAGGACCTAGCAATGTTGAGTCGTATAGTACTAAAGGACATCCTCAACTGGAGTCTCCTGCTTTTGCTTCTGTTTCTTCATTTTTGCCTGGGCGAAGAAGAAAACATGGAGGTGAGCAGAAGAGATAATAATCCAGTGGCCAAAGTTTTGGAGAGCCACCACCAGACTGGTCATAAAGGTTCCAGCAGCAGGGAAAACTTGAGACAGCGGAGCCAACTGTATAAGTGGACGGTTGAGGCAGTTCATGGTACTAGTCCTTCTACTGACCAAAATGCCTTGAAACCAGAAGTAGATGATGTAGCACAGACTACCTCAGACAGAGTCCAGGTACTCTGAATTAATATTCTAAGATGCTGTTCAGAAAGTATGTGAGCTTTTTGTTATATGCCAACATTAGTACTACCTTTCTCAAGAGCAATGGGTTCCTAATGATAGGGTGACCATGCTATGCACGGACGTCTTTCAGGATAGGGCTTTTCTTTTCTATGAACTTAATTTTCCATACAGATGTTTTCCCCCCTCTTTATGACATCAACTATCTTTAATCTACCAATAATTCAACGTTATGCATGTTTATTTAGATGTAAGTCCCAATGTATGGATTTACATCTTAATGGGGCAATCCAGTCAATGTTAAGCATTTCAGATCATAGTAAAAATTATGGGACTTGGTTAACTTTCTACAGATTATGCCATACTGATACATTAGAAATGTTACGAGAAAAATACCTTGTATTGGAGCAAATTTTGTTCAGGATGCATCAAACAGGCTGTCAGACATGAAGGAAGGACTGCATACTTCAGCGGCATAAGGAAAAACTCTCAGTATTTTTCAATGCATCTTCTATGTAAATTTGTGTAAGGTTGTAATTTGCACATTTACTGGAGACAGTTCTTAATTGAAAGTGGAATTTATGTAGAGGATATTGTTCATAAGAGTGGCAAAGGCGAACACTTATTTTTGGAGAATATGCTTTATAATTGAAAGTAGAGAATATGCTTTATAATTGAAAGTAGAGAATATGCTTTATAATTTAAGTACTTAAATATACTGCCCTATACTCCTTTCTCAGCTCAATCGATGTTAGACACCAGAATTACTGTGCTTATTGATGTTGTTATTATTATATTTTTAAAAACCACTTAATTAAAAACAGCTTTACTGTATGGAATTTACTTCAAATAGAAGTAAGTAGTTCAGGCTGTTCTTTAGATGAACAAAACTATTTTATAGAAGAATTTTCAGATAGCAGGTATTAGAGATGGGTCAATGAGTATAATCAATGCATATACATTAATTTAGATATGAATAAAGAGACAAGCAAAGTGCTTTTTTTGTATTGATTTTGAATTGTATCCATGTTTAAACTAATGCTTTTCTTGGCAGAAAAGGGGTTTCCAATTGAAATGTCATTGCATTTGGGTGGTCAATGTTCAGTTCCTACTGTAGTGCTTGAAGCTCAGTTATTAATACTGTAGTCAAGCAGTGGCAAACTCCAACTTTAGATGTACATTGGGGCCACTGTTTTGACTTTGTGGACCATACCCTGTAGATACTCTGTGAAAGCAATCATGCCAGGCCTGATCTTTAACTAGGGCTACCATATCTGGGCTGCAAAAAGACAGATGACCACATGCACTCTCTTTGCTGCCATTTAGAGATTGTCTATATTTTTGCAGCCCAAACATGGTAGCTCTATATTGTGGATAGTTGGAGAATGGATTTTGCTTGGAAATTTAGTCAACTGTCCCCTGGAATTTCTTCCCAAGAAGGAATAAGTTACAGTCAATTGCATGTGCGTACTGTTCTCTGAAGCATTCTGCTCTTGGCTGGAGCTGTTTATTACTGAGTGCCTTTATTAAAATGGGACTACAGATTTAATATGTTATTTGTTTGATCCAATCTTTGCCATGCCTCATTTTTCGGGTGCAAGGCACAGGCATTTCTCTCTATAAGTGATTAAGAGACACCTGATTTGCTATTGATGGCCCTGAAAGAAAGGCTTTTATTTATCACCAGATAACAAGCTTACAGAAGAATGAGGCTCTACAGAGGTGGAATGGTCTCTTTATGAGGCAATGAAGGAATGGGGTCTGTTGCTGCAGATAAAAAAAGTTACAAAAGTGCTGAAAAAAGTGACTTACATACGTTTCCTTGAACTTACGACCATCACAGCATCCCTGTAGACACATGATCAAAATTTGGCAGCCACCAGGGACTTATGATGATTGCAAAGTCCCAGGATCATGTGATCACCATTTACAACCTTCCCAGTTGATTTCTGACAAGCAAATTCAATGGGGGAAGTAGGATTCACTTAATGATCACATGCTTCGCTTAACAACTGCAGTGATTTGCTTAATGTCCATGGCAAAAAAAGGTTGCAAAATCAAGCATGAGTCTCTTCACAACCACCTGGCTTAGCAATGAAAATTCTGGTCTCAACTGTAGTTGTAAGTCGAGGACTACCTATATCAGTGGTGGAAAACCTATGGCACGCATGCCAGAGGCGGCACTCAGAGCCCTCTCTGTGGGCACACACACCGCCGCCACTAGCAGCTCACGCAGGTCCATTAGGCCACCGCCACCGCCCGGAGCAGCAGCCCCGGCCAGCACAAAGCATGCAAAATAGCCGGCTAGCAAGCTCGTAGAGGTGTTAGAGCATCGAGGTGGCCACACCTACCTGGCCACACCCACACAGTCTGCCGTGACAACTGCAGCCATACCCACCCAGTGGGCCACGGCCCCATGCCCCACCTGAGGGCACCACAATGCTGATGGGGCTCTGGCACTTTGCAATAAATAAATGGGTTTTGGGTTGCGGTTTGGGCACTCGGTCTCTAAAAGGTTCGCCATCACTGACCTATATTGATATAAGTCATAATTGTGATATCCTATAAATTGTTTTTGAACGATGTGTTTACAGACAACACAGAGTGGACCTCAAAGCCCACCAGAATGTGGTTGCCGGGGGGATTTTGGATTTCGAGGTTATCAAGGCCCACCTGGACTTCCAGGACCTGCTGGAATCCCAGGTAAATAATTAGAAAACAATTGTACAATGATGAACACTTGAAGGGGTTGCTTGGTTTCTGTGGCAGTTTGCATAGCAGAAAAGATGTATTGAGCTTCTTGATGCATCACGTCTCAGTGTTCTTGGGCTATTACTCTAAATGGTGCACTACCTGGAACATCTGGAATACTGTAGTGGCATTCCTTATCCTGCTCCTTTCCTACTGTATTCTCTTGGCTTATTCCTTCAGTCTCTTAAATCAAATGCATAATAGCAGAATTCTAGACTCGGAAGCAGCCATTTAGGCCAGTGCTTCTCAACCTCAAACAACTTAAAGATGTGTAGACTTCAACCCCCAGAATTCCCCTGCCAGCATGCAGAATTCTGGGTGTTGAAGTCCACACATCTTAAAGTTGCTGAAGTTGAGAAGCACTGAAACACTGATTTAGACCATTGATTCTTCCCATAGATGGCTGTCCAGATTCTGCCCAAAGACATATAGTAAATGATAGACCTTCCCCTCGGTTTGGAGTCTGCTAGCTAGGCAGTCTCCCTGTGTACCTTGCCACCAGCTGAGCTTCCTGGTCCCGTCAACATTTGGCCTTTTAAAAATTAAATTTTAAAACATTGTGAAACTGATGTGCTTCAGTGAAAAATACCAAATAATGGTTGACTCTGTCATTTTGCCCACCAGTACCCGAAAGGACGTGGGAGATAGTGGTGGCAACAACCATGCTGGTAAAATACTGCCTTGTAATTGCTTAAAATGTCCATGTCAGTAAACAGCGAACTCCCCATCATTTTGCAACTTTCCCATCATTTTGTAAACTCCCCATCATTTTGGAAGAGTGCCCACAGTTTGTTCTCAGAACTCCAAAGGGCCTACCATCCACCTCAAAGTTTAGGGATCCATGTTGTAATTTAACACCAATAACATGGTGGGAAAGGGATCAGAATGTTCTCCTAAGCAATATTTTAATGCCAATATAGGTAGTTATGACAGCTTTGCTTTTGCAATACCCTGTTTGTGTAAGAACCGGGTGCGCACTCAAAGTTGCAAAGAAGTCTTTGGATTGTGCCAGTTTTTTCTCCTACACTTTTTTTTAAATTTGATTAATGACAGCAGCAGCAGTTTTCATTCTTGCCATGCAGATTTTTTTTTTTAGTTCATTGTAGCCCTTTTAATAATTCTTTTATTACTGAGCTGAATAAAATGTTTTTATAAGCAGCTTTGGAGGGCAACAGGTTCAAATAACATGGCTATTTTGATATGTAACCAGGGTGAAGACAATTGATTATATAGCTAAACTGCAAGCCTTAACCAAAATGCAATGTTAGATTTCATTGATATCAACAGCAACGCCCATAAATTCTATGAATTTCTTGTTTCATATCACGTATCTATAAACGACTGAAGGCATGAGGAAAAAAATGTAATGTAATAAAATGATGTAGTTCATTAAGTTAAAAAACATGAAAATGTTCTTCAGAAGATACTGATATAATTCATCAAGTAATTAATTAGGTACTTTAATGAGAGGCAAATGAAGAAAATAATTCTATCAGTATGGTTCAACTTTAAATACGTTGCAACATACTTACACATATGTAAGTTACAACAGCACTGAAAAAAGTTACTTATGATTGGTCCTCATACTTATGACTGTCACAGCATTCCAACAGTCACATTATCAAAATTTGGGCACTAGATAATCAGCAAGCATTTTTAATAGTTGGAGTATCCCAGATTTGCCTGATTGCCATTTGTGACTTTCAAGTGTGAAAAATGGGGACCACAGTTATATTTCAGTTACGATGATTTTTTGCTCATGCCTGTACACAAGAATTGGTCAACTAGTGGGCCAAGAGCGGGCAACTAAATTTCATTTTTGATGTGTGCCGTTGTGCCCACAGTAAAAAAATGACAATAAAGGTTATCTTATCTTATCTTATCTTATCTTATCTTATCTTATCTTATCTTATCTTATCTTATCTTATCTTATCTTATCTTATCTTATCTTATCTTATCTAACGTTCAGCACTAAATTGGTGCTAGATAAGAGCCAGCGGAATTCAAGAGGGGCTGGACTTAGATTGTTTGTGGGAACCTAATGATTCTAGGCTGATTACTTGCTTGACTCTGCCCCAAGGCTCTGCCTGCTCCTTTCCTACCTCTTCTCAGCTGGCTTACAATAGGCAAAGTCAATGGGGGAAGCTGAATTCACTTAATGACCATGTGATTCACTTAAAACTGCAGTGATTCATTTGACAATCATGGCAAAAAAGGGCATTGGGCGTAATTCACTTAACTATTGCCTTGCTTAGCAATGAAATTCTGATCCCAGTTGTGCTTGTAAGTCGAGGACTGCCTATACCGTGTGCATAAGTGTGAGCATTTTTTTTGTAGACTATGTTCTAGTTGGGTAATGAGAAGACAGTAGCTCATGCTTCTGAATGGTGCTGTAGAGGTTTAGCAATTCCACGCTCAGAGATTTTGTAACAATCCCAAAGAGTGGGGAAAGGAGCATGGACCGTAACCCTTGCTCTGGATCAAGTCTCGGAATGCATCTACCTCTGGAGAACAATTTTCATTTCTTTCCTTCTATCCCGCAGCTGGTGTTACCATGATGTCTTGTCAATATTTTCCTGGCACCAGAACCCTCCAAAGGGCTGAGTTCCTTAACTGCCAACTGCCTATTTTTGACCTGATTTGAATGCTTTTATACCTTTATATCTGTGTTGATGCCCTGGGAAATCAGCAGTTAGTTAGCACTTGATTGTAACCTGTTACCATAGTCTTTGACTTATGAGCAGAATTGAACCCAAAATTTCTGTTGCTAAAGAGGACAGTTGTTAAGTGAGTTTTGCCCCATTTTATGACTTTTCTTGTCATAGTTGCTAAGTGAATCAGTGTAGTTGTTAAGTTAGCGACATGGTTGTTAAGTGAATCTGGCTTCCCCATTGACGTTGCTTGTCAGAAGGAAGCAAAAGATGATCACATGACTCTGGGACACTGCAACCATCATAAGTGGGAGTCAGTTGCCAAATCTCTGAATTTCAATCACAGGACAATGAGAATGCTGCAATGGTCGTAAGTGTGAAAAACAGTTATAAGTCACTTTTTTCAGGGTCATTGTAACTTCAAACGGTCACTAAATGAATGAGTGTGAGGACTATCTATATAAGATTTTGTCCTGAAAATGTACAAAAAAAAATCCTAGGACAGAAATGAAGGAAATTCACCTACTGTCCAAGAAAGCCACTGTTATTATTGATTCATCAGTACAGTTTTCCTTCTCAACATACCCTTAATTTTTTTAGGCCAGTGCCTTTCAACATTAGTGTTGTTAAACTGTGTGAACCTTGACTCCCAGAATTCCCCAGCCAGCATGTTTAAATATTCAGTTCCTATCAAGTTTCTTCTTATCTATCCCTGCCCTTTTTTGTACTATTTTAGAAAGGCTATCTGGGCCTCAGTACTTACGAGTGCTCTAGATATATTGAACTATAATTTCCATCATCCCCAGGCATTGGTGGCTAGGGAAGATGGGTGCTGTAGTACTAGAATATATATATCTAGAGGATACCAGAATGAGAAAAGTTAAATCTAATTTAGTCCAAAGAATGAAAACAAACTTGCATGGAGCCTTGTAAAGCTTGCATTTCACCGAACAACCTATTGATTGACTGCCCAAAGGAAACCATGGAAACAATGGAAATAATGGATTACCTGGCACAGAAGGATCGAAAGGTGACAAAGGAGACAAGGGGGACTTGGGACTCAGAGGTGAGCGAGGCCATCAAGGACATAAAGGAGAAAAAGGTTATCCTGGCATCCCGCCAGAGCTGCAGGTAATTTCCCCTTAATTTTCATGAGAGCATGATTTTTCCAAAAGTGATTTCCCATTGCATAAATTTATGGATGGGTTTGTTTGTTTACCTGACTATGATCCCAAATATTTGTGGGTGGGCTGTGTCAATACTTTGAGGCAGTCCAGACAAGAAGTGCCAACTAAGAGTATACAGGTAGTCCTCAATTTACAAGGGCAGTTGTAACACGACATTAATGGTGAGATTACTATATTAAAGGAATGTTGCAAGTCTGAAAGTACATCTCTCCTGCCTCACCTTTACATCCCTGCAATTACGTGACTGGGATTCAGATACTTGGCAACTGACTTGCACTTATGATGGTTGCAGTGTCTCGCAGTCACGTGATCACCATTTGGAACCTTCCCTACCAGCTTCCCACCAGCAAAAGCTGCCAGGGAAGATGAGAAATCCCTCCCATAAGTTGCTTCCACTGTTTTTTCTCCTGAGGACCCTGCAATAGATGATGAGATTCAGGGATCTCATTCAACAGAGCACCTACCTGCTTACAGCACCCTCACCTGCACCTTGTAGTGCCCATAAACTCTTGCATGGCACTGCAACAATCCTTCCCATATCTGGCCACATTTATGCCATGCTGCACCCCTCTGCCCAGCGGCACTCCATAACACTTATCATAAAGGGTAACACTGAATTAACCAGCCAGTGGCATGTCTCCTTCGCTTAACAATCACGGTGTTTGCTTAACCACTGCGAAAAAGTCACAAAATTAAGATTTACCTGATTTACGACCATCAAGACTTATGACTGAAATTGTAGGCTCAATTATGGTCATAAGTCAAGGACTATCTGTACATTCTGGACACCCCTGCTATCACTATTGGTGCACAGTTTACATTTTTGTTTGTTTGTTAAAGCCAAAGTAAATCTGTCAAGACTTCTTTATTCTCTCCATGCTGGAGCCGATCTGACAAATCCCCTAAAACGTAACGCTTCTTGTGGCTGAGATGGCATGAAGGGATCTCCACAGACTCAGCTGCTACGTTAAAGTGTACAGTAATCTTAAATGGAGCTGTTTGTGTTTTAGACATTCATAGATGTTTTTCTTTCTGCGTATGAGTGGATCTCTGTTCGTACATAAATCAATGGCAGTGTTGTTAGTCAGGTTACACGCTGGCCCAGATCCTAGTGATGCATTTAGAAAATCAAAGTTTATCTCTCTTTCTCTCTCCCCTCTCCTCCTTCACCAACTAAACTGGGAAAGAAGTTGATACAGAATTGACTGCTTTCAACCATGTCTTCCAATCTGCCTTTCTCCTGTTCTTTAAATGCTAACTCTATTTGCATAGGTTGCATTTATGGCTTCAATGGCAACCCACTTTAGTAATCAGAACAGCGGAATAATCTTCAGTAGCGTGGAAACCAACATTGGCAATTTCTTTGATGTAATGACTGGACGATTTGGCGCTCCAGTGAATGGTGAGTACAGTGCATTCTGTGTGAATTTTGTGCAAAAGAAACAATAATTTGCCTTGAATGTTCTTTATTCAATCAAGCAGAACTTTTCCCCCTTGAAGCTTCAAACTGATGTTGTGTTTTACTTTGGATCGAACACAAAGGCAAACATTGTGATTTTTTCTAAACATATCTTCTTGATAGATTGAAATATGACGTCCATAGCTTATTATTATTTTTGCAGAACCTAAATATAACATTTTGTGATTGCTTGTTCAGAAAGGGTGAATTCTGACAGATTCTATAAAAAATAACAAGAACTTCTGTTTGGACCCTTTTTTAAAAAAATAGGAAGTTTTTCCCCCTTTATTGCTCTTGTGTAGGCAATTTGCATGAATGTAACTTACAACTAAGGAATGTCCTTGTGTTAAGTGCCTATAAAATTTCAACAGGAAATAATGGAAGGTACAGTACAGGGAATAAAAAAGCCAATATATGAGTTTTGCAAACTTATTTATTTCTGTCCTTTATATACTGCTGTACTCTGTATGGATTCCCAGCAATTTACAATAAAGCAGTAAAACAATATTGAATTAGGACAATACCATGGTAATACAGTAGAGTAGAATAATACAGATGGCACACATTCATAATTTCTTGAGTACATTCTTGAGTACATTTTTATGGATTTCTTAGAATAGAAGTAACTCAGATTTGCTGTACATACTCAGTAATCTGATTCTCCAGATTAGGTTATTGATCAGGTTCTTTCCATGTTGACAGTCTCATTGGGATGCTGGGCAAAATATCTGTAGAAAAACCTGATCAATACAAGAACCCAACTGCTAAGTATATAAAGTTGTTTTATTAGCTTCTAATAACTAATAACATTTCTTAGGCTCAAGACAATATCAAAATAGAAACTTTAAACAGTCCAAAAATTAGATTTTGGAAACCCAGAAAATAATATTATTCTCCCTAAAACTTTTTAAAGGCAACCTAGTTAAGCTACTATCGCTTTTACCACACTGTAATAAATTAAACAGTGTGCATTTATTAATCACTGCTTTTGCTATATGACCACATTCACTGGTAAAGTTAATACTAGACTGGAAATGAGATCTGTTGGTCACAAAAATATATCCATCTTTTTATATCTCTCTTTCCCCACATCTTCAATTTATGGAAAATTTGTGGAGCTTAAAAAATGTTCCAAATTGGCATTAAAAAAATAATGAAAGCCTTTAAGGTTCCAAAATAGATTCTAAGCTTCAGGACCAGATTACCTCATATTGGATTGTTTCAGAGATGAAACAGAATATTTTGCAAGTGTGGATATTCATCTTAGACAAGAAGATGAATGAATTCTTAACAATTGTGGCTAAATGTGTGTACTCTTAAGTGTGGAGGGATTCTTATTGTATTTGGTAAGTATTAGTTCTGAATATATGTACAGGTAGTCCATGACTTACACAGTTCATTTAGTGACCATTTGAAATTACAATGGCACTGAAAAAGTGATTTATGACCGTTTTTCACACTTATGACCCTCGCAGCATCCCCATGGTCATGTGATCAAAATTCAGATGCTTGGCAACTGACTCATATTTATGACGGTTGCACTGTCCCAGGGTCACATGATGAGGAGATTGTTGAAGCAGCTGTGAAGGAACATTTATCTTGTTATCTGTGCCATTGAATTATTCAATTGTACTATATATTTTCTCTCTTCCCTTCTAGGGGTTTATTTCTTCACCTTTAATATGATGAAGCATGAAGATGTTGAAGACGTCTCTGTGTACTTGATGCATAATGGCAACACAGTATTCAGTTTATACAGGTGTGTGCGGTGCATTTGAGGCTTACAAATATGTGAAATAAATTTGGAAGAGGAACTGAAATTCAGGATAGAGCACATGAGCTGCCTTCTAAGATTCTCAGCTTCAGTCCCTAAAACAGGGGTCCCCAACCCCCAAGCTGCAGCCCATTACCAGGCCATGTCTTGTTTGAAACTGGGCCACAGTGCATGCGAAGCTCCACTTATGCGAGCGGAGGGCGCTCGTGCATGATGTTCCATTTGCACAAGCATCATGCGCAAGCACAAGCACCTTCTGCTCATATATGAACCTCAATTTGCGTGAGTGTAGGGTGTGCGCACCTACTCACACCAGTGGAGCTATGCACACGCATGTGCGCCTGCCACTCACACACCCCCCATCCCTGGCTGGGGCACCAAGGTGGAAAGGTTGGGGATCGCTGCCCTAAAACCTCCAATTTTAAAAAGAAATGGGTTACGGGTAAGAGGACAAACCACTAGGGTAGGGGTGTCAAGCTGCCAGCCTGGGGTGGGCGTCATGCTGAAACCACGCCCACCCCAGCTCCAACAATGGGGAAAAAGTCACGATATGTCGCGATACATCACGTGATGTGATGTGGCGAGTTTGACACCCCTGCACGAGGGAAAGCTGCTATCCCTTAGCATAGATTATCTGATTAAGAATTAGGATTGCTAAACTGGAAAAATGACCAATAATAGATTTAATGAAGAATTTATCTTGCCTGATATAACACTGCAAGATAAGTAGGTAGATTGCATTGTCTTTAGAGGAAGTTGGAACCCTCAATTACTTTTGCCTATGTTGAAATGGCCAATCTGCTGCTTTAGGCCTGCAAAGTGGTACAGGTAGTCCTTCATTTATGACAATTGCTTAGCGACTGAAGTTAAAATGGAACCCGAAAATGGCGCTTGAGCTGGATTTGAAGTTCCAACTGCCATTCCCCCCCCCAGTCATGTGATTACATTTTGGATGCTCATCAACCGGCTTGCATTTATAGCTGTTTGCAGCATCCTATGGTCATGTGACCATGATTTATATATATATTTTTCCCCAGTATATGTTTACTTCCAGTTTCTGGCACAAAATGCCCATTATAGACAATGGGTTCATTTAATGGTTGCAGACTTCCTTTTTTAACATTGTCGTATCAGCAAACAGTCTCTAAAAAAGGCAGTTACTAAATGAGGACCACCTCTAGGGATTGCAACAATGCTTAAAATGTGAAGAACAAACCAGTTTACCTTTTGTATCTCTGTTGTTAGCTACGAATCCAAGGGAAAATCTGACTCGTCAAGCAATAGCGCAGTGCTTAAACTTGCCAAAGGAGACGAAGTGTGGTTGCGGATGGGCAACGGGGCACTGCATGGAGATCATCAACGCTTTTCCACTTTTGCTGGGTTCCTTCTTTTCGAAACCAAATAGGTCTACTCACTGGAAATGAAGTACAATATTGCTATTCGGTTTCCCTTGCTCTTTGGATTAGCATGGGAACATAGTAAAATCCCAGGGTCTGTCTTGACACCAGTATGCTGTGAACTATGAAACGTGGTAAGAAGAGGTTAGGCCTGAATTTATATATGCCCTTTTATGACATTTTGCATCCCACTGCACATTCTTGCCTTCTTGCTAATGGATATTGAATAGTTACCAAACGCCTATTCCTAGTAATTTAATAGAGTGGTGATTATAGCCTCTTCTTTTTCCATTTTCAACCAGCAATTTTCATATGATCTTGTGCTCTAATGGATATTTCATGTACAAACATTCAGATGGGATATCGTTGTATCAACAAGTCATGTGTGTTTGGAAGCTCCTGTGTTTTTAAATGCAAAAATATAAATTCAGGTAGTCTTTGACTTACAACCATTCCTTTAGCGGCTGTTTGAAGTTACAATGGCAATGAAAAAAATGACATATAACCAGTCCTTGCACTTACAAGCGTGGCAGCATCCTCACAATTACATGATCAAAATTTGGGCACTAGGCAACCGTATATATTTATGACAATTGCAGTGTCCTGGGGTCACATAACCACCATTTGCAACCTTCCCAGTCAGCTTCTGACAAGCAAAGTCAATGAGTAGAAGCTGGATTTGCTTAACAACCACATGATTTAACAACCATTGCAAAACAAGTAATAAATTTGGGCACGACTCATTTAACAACCACTTTGCTCAGCAACAGAAATTCTGATCCCAATTATGGTTGTAAGTTGAGGATTACCTATACATATCCATCTCCACTCTGCAATCATATTATAACACGGGGATATACTTACACTATATATGCATAAATATATCAAAAACAGGGAAATAACATTTGGAAGGAGACTAGCTGCACTTTTTCAGACAGCTTTATGAAAAAAAGCAAAAGCTTTCCAGATGAATCCAGTGAATATTGACTATTTTAGCAAGTAACTCTTAAAATACCACACAAACAACTGTGAGATTTTTCCTCTTGGTTTAAATAATTGATTGAATCCTGCATTTAATGTTTTGAATGGGTTTAACATAGGTAAAATTGAATTGGTTGGCTTCAAACAGATAAGTGCAACAATCTCAAAATGTGCATTTTTGTGTGTTTGTGTGTCTATATTCTGTGGTCAATGAAGTGTATCCTTTCTGTCACTTTGACTGAAGATTTGCTATAGATCTTCTAATTTCCACTTCTTCTCAGTCTTTGAAAAATAAATATATCAGTTTTAGGGCTGATTTTTATTTTCATCCTGTGTGAAAGCATTTTAAGAACAAGCTGATTAGATTCTGGTAAATTATCCATTGGCAGAGCATCTGCAAAGGATAGTCTTTTTAAAGCTCGTAGGCTATATATTACTGCGAGACTTAAGTCTTTTAAACAATGTTTTTAAGTATACATTGGTACATTGAATATTTTAGACTTAGTAGGAATTGCAATCTGTAGTAGATGTTCTTAAAAAAATGTAGCTTTCTTTAGAATGTACCAAAGAAGAATGTAATCTTTTTAAAGTATATTAGCAAGATGATGGCATGCTTTCAAAACATAGTTTCACTCTCTTATTCATTTACTAATAATAGTATTCTGACCCCTGTTCTTAGTATGGATGCCTTCTGAATTTGTTTTTATGTGTTTCAACTATTTGTTTATTTTGTACAGAACACTTACTAAATAAAGACCATTCTGAATAAGTATTTTGTGCACTTATGACTGTAATTCCAGGCACAATCATAATGGTCTGATTCCATATTAGGTAGCCTCATATCAAAGACAATTAGTAACTTGGCTTTCAAACAAATTATACTTAGGGTGCTTAGAACATACAGTATAATTATATGTTCAAACCCCTATTCCAAATGCAGGTAGTCCTCGACTTAACGATCAAAATTGAGTCCAAAATTTCTGTTGCTAAGCGACACAGTTGTTAAGTGGGTTTTGCCCCATTTTACCTCTCGTGCCACAGTTGTTAACTGAATCCCTGCAGTTGTTAAGTTAGTAACATGGTTGTTAAGTGAATCTGGCTTCTCCTTGACTTTACTTGTCAGAAGGTCACAAAAGGTGATCACATGATCTTGGGACACTGCAGCCCTCATAAATGAGTCAGTTGCCAAGCTGCCTGAATTTTGATCACATAACTATGGGGATGCTGCAATGGTTGTGTAAAATAAGTCACTTTTTTCCAATACTTGTGTAACTTCAAACGGTCACTAAACGAAGTGATGTAAGTTGAAGACTGCCTGTACAGAGAGTCTGTCATCCTTCACTTCCTGGACAATGGGTGGGATGAAATTTCTTCTAGGGCTGATAGATGAGGCTCAGCCATTCTCACCTAAATGCAATATTCTTCCCAAGCAGCTATATATCGTTTCCCTTCTCCTCCTGCATGCATTTCCCCTTTCAATTTTGCAGTCTCAGGAAAACTACATCTGCCTATAGTTCACTTCCTGTAAGGTAAAAGATAAAGGAGACCCTGTGGATTTTAGTCAGCTAGTCATTGCCGACTATAGGGAGTGGTGCTCAGCTCTGTTTCAAGGCCATTGAGCCAGTGTTGTCAGAAGACATTTCCCGTTATGTGGCCCGCATGTCACACAGCGCTGCCACTTTCCATCAAAGTGATACCTCTTTATCTACTTGCATCTGCATGCTTTTTAACTGCTAGGTTAGCAGAAGCCGGGGTGAGGATGGGCTGCCAGTTTTCCAGCCAACAAACCCAGCGTCTTAACCACTGAGCCACTGTACCACCCTATCACTTCCTATAGCCAAAATATTTTGGTAGTGCTACAGAATCAGGACCTTTCACTCAGGTCTCTGCGATCTTTGAGAAGAGGAATCAGCTTTAATCAAGAAACGAAATGAAACTGACTGGGCTAACTGTGAACTGCAACCTCCAAGGACTACAAAGACAACCTAAGCAGAAACAGAGAGAACAGAATTTATCTAAGAGGGTGTGGGAAGTCAGCCCCCCCCCCCAGAGAAGGAAATATTAAAAGGGCAGAATGTTATATTTCCTCAAAGGATCTTAAAGAGGCAGAAAAACATGCCCAGTTTTTCTTAATAGCCCAAAGTCTCCCTCCCCCAAGCAGAAACTAGCTCTGTAGAAATGCAGGTGTAAATAATCCATTCAGGAAGGTTGAAGCTAGAAGATTAAGAAGACAAAGACACCTAAAATCTACATACCCCACCCAAACTCTAAGACAACATAATAGGATTCACTCACAGATGCCAAAGGGGCACACTCAGACTCAGGTCAAAATGCATGACACAGGAAATACAAAGGCTCAAACAGGAACAGGAAACAAACTCAAGAGCCCAAAAGGGTATAAAACCCACTCCCTACATGTGCTTCCTCTCTTTTCTTCCAGAGCCATATTTCTGTCTGGCTCTCCTCTTCAATAAACTGCAACCTTCTTTCTAAAGCAGTTGCCATGTTGTTTATTTCCGGCTTGGACTGGACCCTGATGAAGACTATGGAAACATTCACCCAGAATCCTCTGAAAGGGCAATAATAATATAAAATCATCCAATCTCTTTATAAAGTATAACAGGGGTCCCCAACCTATGGGCTGCGGCTGCTTGGCTACCAGGCCGCATGAAGGGATGGCCAGTCACGCCCCCCACACTCACGCTAGCGGTGAGCATTCCGCCGGCGCTAGCGCCACCCTGCCCGAGCAGGGCAGTACATGAAACCACACCCCCTCCGGTCTGCAGAAAAAACGCTCTCCACGGAACTGGTCCCTGGTGCTCAAAAAGTGGGGGACCTCTGAAGTATAAGATAGATGATGTGGTTCATGCATTGCCCACACACCAAAAGAACCGGATAGCGAGCAATACAGCTGTGAAGAAATATCTAAAAAAGAAGGATTCAATTCTCCAGCTTCAATGTATGATTGCTATTAGCAAAAGTACATATATTTTTGGTGTAATGCCAGTACTTCCAGATAGATTCTCTGGACCATCAGAATAAAAGATCTGTCTCATTTATATTATAAAATATGAGAAAGAAAAAATGCCTTATATTTTGTGCCAGCTCAGTTTTACTTAAAATCAAGACAAGAAATAATTATTTAGCATATGCATATCATACATGAGCTAGCAATATATATTAATATTTCATCTAGATTAATAGAACCGAATAAAATATAAATGTTAAAAAGGTCTATGTTCAAATACCAATGTCTAGGCCATCTAACCATTGGATCAAAATACATGACAACGAAAATGAAAATAAAGCTGCTTTCTGCCATCTAGAGGGCACATATACAGGCACATAAATATTCATATAGCTACACCACACTCTGTAAAAACAATTTTTGCTTGGCTTAAATCCTGTTACTGGCAAGTACTGTATTTTACGGCAAATAATGCTGGTCCAAAATATTTATCTACCTGAGGACAAGCAGCAAATATAAGCTGCAAATCCAGGCTACCCAACTTATTTTTTACATCTAGAATCTCCTTCTGAAAGTAAAAACACCATAATTATAAATAAGATGGTGAATATATTCTAGGGACATGAGGAATTGGCTTGACTGAATGAAAGGGTCAGTTTTATAAAGTGGTTGGCATTGATTGAAGCCAGTGTTTCTTAAATTGTTTTTCCCCTCAGGACCCCTTCATACTTTTAAAAAATAGGAGAACCCCAAAAGAGCTTTTGTCCATGTAGGATATTTTTATCAATACAGGTAACCCTCAACTTACAACAGTTCATTTAGTGAACATTCAAAGTTACAACTGCACTGAAAAAAGTGAGTTATGACTGTTTTTCACACTTACGACTGTTACAGCATTTCCATGGTCATATGATCAAAATTCAGACACTTGGCAAATGACACATATTTATGACGATGACAGTGTCCCAGAATCAAGTGATCACCTTTTGAGAGCTTTTCACAAGCAAAGTCAATGGAGAAGCCTGATTCACTTAACAACCATGTCACTAATTTAATAACTGCACTTATTCACTTAACAACTGTGGCAGGAAAGGTTGTAAAATGGGGCAAAATTCACTTAACAAATTATCACTTAGCAACAAAAAAATGGGGCTCTATCGTGGTCGTACATTGAGGACTACTTGTATTTACTGTATTAAAAACTGCAATTGACACATTTGCTGCCACAATCAGTTGACATGATTGTTTGATGAGATTTTAATATTGTATTATTATTTTTTTTTATTTTTTTTTATTGAAAATTTTTAAAAGTTTTACAATATATCTCCCCCCCTCCCTCAACCCACCCTTCCCCACCCCCCTCCCTTCCCCCCGACTTCCCAGAGCTACACACAGGGTTTACAATACAATAATTATATTCTATCTTAAATTATGTTACCCTAAAATTAACAATTCTATAACATCCTTTAGCTCCCTCTTAAAC